ATAGAGACTGCAAAGAGGAGAGAGCGTAGTAATGCTCCCGGATGATAGCCGAGTGCAACGAAGGAAGCGTGGAGCGTCACAGGCGGTAAGACGAGGACCTGAGCAGCTTGCAATAAGAATTTGGTACGCCAATGCATCGTTGACGCCTTCCCGTATACTAGTGCTGGAGGGGAAAGAGTCAAGCTGGCAGTTGCGTCCGGTTAAGTGTGGGTTGCAGAGCCGCCTATAAAGCCTAGGGTGGAGATTAGACGCCAGAGCTTCCCCATTCGAGAAGGGGGGCAAACATCATTCTACCACCTACTAAACGATGCAATCGCTCTTTAGCTGCAAAGCTTCCTTATTCAGGAAGAGGGGCTCGCTTCAACCGACAGTGGGAACCCACAGGGTACGATCCGAAAGCGCTCGTGCAGCATGCGGCCGTAGATGAGCAAGTCCGGCTCTAACAGGATCTAACTCAAACGCGGATCGATGGCAAGTAGGGAGGAAAAGAAATTACAATAAATGTAGATACAAGTACACCAATACTAGATTAAGTGGGATATAGCATCTATTCCTCGTAGCTACCCTTGGTCTTGGATGGCAAGAGCTCAGGAGCGATGTGTGGGACGACACCACCTTGAGAGATGACAACTGTAAAAGTCGAGTTAGAATATGGTTCAATTTATTCGAGAATAAGTGCTTACCATCACCGAGGAGCTTGTTCAATTCCTCATCGTTCCTGATGGCGAGTTGCAAATGACGAGGAACAATACGTTGCTTCTTGTTATCACGGGCAGCATTGCCAGCGAGTTCGAGAATCTCAGCGGCGAGATATTCGAGGACTACAATCACCAAGTCAGAAACAGGTCATCGTCGACGACAGAAAACGGTAATGACTCACCAGCCGCGAGGTAGACTGGAGCACCAGCACCAACACGTTGAGCATAGTTGCCACGCTTCAACATACGGTGAATACGACCGACGGGGAACTAAAAACGCGCCCAAAGTCAGCTCCAACGCGTTTTAAACACAAGTCTCAAGTACTTACTTGAAGACCAGCTCGGGATGAGCGAGAGGCACCCTTGGCATCAGCACCAGCGGCAGAGGCCTTTCCACCAGACTTGCCACCGACTTTGCCGCCTTTTCCTTTGCCAGACATGATTGATGTAGAGTTGAGAGTTTTTGAGAACTGTGAGTTAGAGGTTGCGAGGGGACGTGGGGATGTCCAAGAGCGAGTTGCGCCAAACATGGGGCCATTGACAAAAGTTTATATAAAACATGGACAAAGCAAGGTCACGTGTGGCTAATAAGGTTGGCGCGGAGTTTGAAGTGCGACCAAGCACGGTCGCCAAACAAAGCGTCGTTTTCCATAAAGTCTTCGACCTCAACAGACCAGCCGCCAACCACCCACTTCGTCACCACACTTGCTCAACTAGCTCCCCAAAAACTTTTATCGAATCAATCATGCCTCCAAAGCCCGCTTCCAGTGTTGCCTCCAAGGCTCCCGCCTCCGCCGTCGGTGGAAAGGCCCCCGCTAAATCGACTGAGGGTGCTAAGGCTGCCAAAAAGTAAGTCTCCTGCCTTTTTACGACTTTGCGCGTTTTTGACGCGTCTTTTGCACTTTAGGACCGCCAAGAAGGCAGCCCCCGCTGGTGACAGCGACAAGAAGAAGCGCAAGCGCTCTCGTAAGGAGACCTACTCCTCCTACATCTACAAGGGTTAGTAGTCTTTCAACTTATCTTTTTCGCGCTTTTTCTTACGCGTTTTCCTCAGTCTTGAAGCAAGTCCACCCCGACACTGGTATCTCCAACAAGGCCATGGCCATCCTTAACTCGTTCGTCAACGACATCTTCGAGCGCATTGCCAGCGAGGCCTCGCGACTTGCTTCCTACTCCAAGAAGTCTACCATCTCTTCCCGTGAGATCCAAACTTCCGTCCGACTCATCCTCCCCGGTGAACTTTCCAAGCACGCCATCTCGGAGGGAACCAAGTCGGTCACCAAGTTCTCGTCGGCAGCCAAGTAATAGTTTTATTCGACTGTTTGCTTTGGTCTTATCTACCGTCTATTACCCTTTTATTGCACTGTATATTGTATAAACATTTCTTCACCGAATTTTTTTGCGAACTACATGAGATCTAAGTTTTACGCGTTGTATCACGCGTTCGTGCTGGATTGAAGCTCCGCTTCTAACGCGTCAGCCATGGCGCCCATGGTCGGGAACTTGAACGTGTAAGATACATTGTCGACATGACAAGTGGCTTCACGCCTTGATATCCAAGCAGAGGCAAGTCCCAATGAATTTGCAGGTACGTGGTCATGCATCAGACTCTGCGCAGTCACGAGGACTTGTTCCTTGTCAACGCCAAACTCGCCCTTGGCCGTATTGAGCATGTAAAGAAAGTTTTTCTCGTCTGGCTTGTAGCTTCCAATCTCTTGCGCCGTCAGGATTTTATTGAAGGTGAACCCGTGCTCCAACAATTTGCGAGTATACCCAAACGACTCGAGGTCCACGTTCGACAGAATGATGAGGACATAGTGCTTGGATAGACGTTCCAAGGCATTTACGGTGTCTGGGAATGGTGGCCAGCTTCGAATTGACTCGCCAGCCGCCGTCCGCTCCTCGGAAGAGAGGGTCGTCCCAAGTTGAGCGGCAACCCGTTCGACGGCAGTGGAGATGATGTTGGAATAGAGCATGGATGGATCTTCTGTCTCGATCTTGTGCTCCTCCTCTAGGTATGCGTTGATGGCTTGCTCGCGGGTCCAGGATGACCCGGAACGCTCCAACAACGGCTTGAGGACATTGTTCAATCCAGTCTCCCAGTCCTAGAAACGAATAAATTCATTCTATATCTTACGAGGGGCAGAATGCTACTCACGATAAGGGTGCCATAGCAATCAAAGGACAAGGCCTTAAAGTGAGATAGTTTTCGGCTCATAATACTGCCTAGAATGAATAAATGGCTTGATAGATTTTGAGATTTATTGACACTTTGTCACCCGAGCACTTTGAGTAAAGGAGACAAAGGTGGGCGTTTCCAAATCGAGTGAGGCCGCCACTTTGACCTCTCCGAATGGGGAAGGCATATACGGCTGCACTCGCCGACACCTTTAGAAATCTCTGGGAATTCACGGCTTCTACGGGATGCTTCCTGTTCCGCTAACGACAGCCAGAAGCCGAGAAGGAGCTTGTTCTGCCCTACAGGCTCACCGGTATCTGTTGGATATTAGCATCTTGTACTTCTCTTCAGAGTTATAGTCTTTGTACTTTATTATGATAGCTCAATTGCTGTCGTTTTGCTTACTTTCAGCCCTTGCTGATCAGGGCTATGTCGATAGACGTCGGCTTGCTCCAAATGCCAAACGTGTTAATAAAATTCCTCAGTGAATACTAAGATTCGAAATTGAAACATGGTGATATATTGCTGGTTATAGCGTCCTATGAAAAGGTCGCGAACGGGGTACAAGACGATCGCTGAGCCCAAGTTGCATTCCAACCACCATGGCCACCCTAACTCGTCCGAAGGAAGAAGGCGATCAGAATCAACGAACCAACTCTACCAACGCGATAGAAGACTTATCGTCGACGGTTCCGTCCCCATTCCCCAGCATACAGATAAAACCGACAACCAATACGCGTGAACTACAAGCGCCAGAGCGTCCATCAGTCTCCATTGAGGGATCAAACACACAAGAGTCATCTGTTGACTCGCATGCCATCGCATGCACGTCCAAGGAGATACCCGTAGATATACGTTTGGAAGAGGATCATACCCAGACGGTGCGTATTCGTTGTCTATATCCACCATCCGTCGCAAAGGATATAATCCTTTGTTTAAAGCTAATGATTGGGTTATTTCTGCCCACCCTATCCGAAACTCGGATTTCTCCCATCACTTGACGTAGTCCTATGATACTGCCCGCTCCATGATCCGTGGATCATTGTTTCAAATTTCCCTAGTCCTTTTGCGATCTAGAACTTAAAGGGACTAGATGCCAGGCACGGTATAGCCGTTCAATCATTCGGGCAAAACCTTGTTACTTTATATTCGTGACTTCTTCCTTCGATACTCATAGCTGACCATTGCTTCTTCAGGTGGCTAATGTTTTGCCCTCTATTTCTCAAGTCGAGAACTCGTGTTTGATAGCTTTAAACACGTTACTTGCCAACGCGCGACCACATTTTCCTTGGGCTCCTATCCTTCCACCTCGACGCCACTCCATGCCCAGTCCAACATCCGCACTCCCATCCACAAGTATAATCGAGCAAGACATTACTCCTGCTCTGAATACGCTCTTGAGCAACCTGCGTTCTTTGGCTGGAGAGGAGCAAGGAATGATTCAAATCGCTCCTGAATCGATGGAGAGGAGCGGGATGATCAGCGAGCTACATAATCGCGTCAACGTGCTTGCTGATACGCTGGTAGAGAGCGATGCTCAACTGGCTAAATCTCTCGTCTCCTTGCTCGCCCATGTCGAACGTCTTACTCAGATACAACCCGACTCGTTACACACTCCGGATGCAGCTCAGCTGGACTTTGCACCCGATCAGCATTCTTTGAGTATTTATGATACGTTGAATCGTCAAGTGAGCCACTTAAAGGCTCAGAGGACAGAGACTGAGGGCAACCCTCGTCAACTAGAAGAAACCTTCGCGGTTAGGAACAGACTAGAGCAGAGGATTCTCTGGGACAGAATTGACGATGATCTGGAGGTTGTATCACGCCTATGTCGACGACGCATGAACGCTGTAGACCCATTCGCAGACGATTTTGACGACATCCACAGGGCTGTTAGCCCGTCTCTCCCACCAGAGTACGATCCCGCCGACTATGAGCCACCAGAATATAGGATATCCCATGAATATTCATTACTTCAAGAGAAAGAAAAGGAGAAGAAGCCACGGCTTACGGTAGAGGATGACAGGCAAACTCTGAATCCCCCACGGTCGTCTACCGTAGGAATTCAAGACGAGAAAATGAGATTGGAGTTCGAAGCTGTGACGATGGCCATCGATAGGCTCTATCAAGTCGCCCCTCAACTACATAATCAGCGGGTAGAGCTAAAGAAGAAAAAGTTGGAAGAAATGGAGCGTGCCTCAAAGGCGACTGCCGCAACTTCTAGTACAGTAAACGGTGCTCAACGAAGTCGAAGTGGAAGCTCTGCAGAGAAAACAGAGTTCCCTCGTATAGCATCGGGTAAAGGGAAAAGTAAACTGAGGGATGACGAGAGGGATTTGGACAATATGCTTTTGCTCATTGGCAAGGCATCTTCCAGGCGTCTTAATGACCAAGCGGTGATCATGACGGATGATATGAAGTCGCGAATTCAAAAGGCTAAACAGCAAGATGACGAAGACGTATGTCATTGTATAGCGATTCTTGGCCATTTCTGACTTGTTATTTTCATAGCGCCGTAAATTCGTTGAGCAGCTTGCAACACATTCTGATGCTGGACGTCTACATAATCAAGATGCTACAATCCCATCCAGTCCGCGGATCAAGGATCCTGACGCGCTGCTAACTCTACCAGAGTTCATCAGGGAGGCAGTACCTCCAGGCATCCAAACTACATTAAATGACCCTAATGCACTCCTGACATTACCTGAATTCGTCCGGGAATCTCAGCAAATGAACCTTGCGAATGGATCCACTGAAAGCAATGGTTCAAACAGTCCCCGACCATCTGCGTTGGAAGCCAAGGAGAAGAAGACCGGAAAGTCTCTCTACAAGCATCGAAGTAAAAGCTTTTCCAGTGCCTCTGGAGCGGGAGCTTGGCTCATAAGTAAGGGATGGATGCGTCAACCCTCCTCACTCATTCCGAATCTTATCAATGATGACACCAGCAAATCCCCTCGATCACAAGGTAGTATCCACACTCAAATTTTGAATATCAGCAGCTTATCGTTCATGGCAGCCGGCCTCAATGTGACTTTTGTGGCGGAATTCCAAGAGTATCTCAATACGGTTATCATTCTATTCAAATTAGATGGACTCGAACATCCACCAAAGCAAGTTATTCTTGAAGTTGTCCCTAATCCTGGAGAAGGGGTAACATCCGGTGATCGCATCCTTGTCAAGCACGGCGCAAGCTGGTCCCCTCCTTTGTTACTTCCCACTCGCGTATTACTTGGAAAGTTCACTGCTCAGCCTACAGGAGATCACTATGAAATCAAGTTAGAAACTCCTGCAAGTCCTCAATCTACTGGGAGTGGCCCCGTAGCTCTACTCGACGCAGTTCAACTCACAAACATATCCCCTTCATCATTCGTATGCTCTTCTTGCTCGCTTCCTCTAGCTCAGAATCCCGCCGCTCAGCAGGCTACGTCATCTGAGCAGTCTATTAATGGCCCTTCTCCTCCAAACCTGACATTCAAAGATCTTCCTAGTGAATATTGGGCGGAGCTCGTAGACGCATGGATGTGTCATCAGGACCAAAAACTGACAGAGCGCATCACACAAGGAGCGAAGGAAGGCTTCTGGCCTGCAAAGGATGAGTGCCTTGTTGGAGGTAGTTACCTCTTGTTCGAAGGAGCATCGATCATCAAGTCAAACACAAAGCAAACGGACAAGAAGAATGTAAGTTTTTCGTCAAAACCAGTTTTCTTCGGTGCAACAATGTTAGCGGACGAAAAGAAGGCCTTCACTGGATTGTCCACCAGTGGTCATTCTCATTTCTTCTTGGATCTTTAGCTGCTCCTTTCGGTGGCTATAGAACCATTTGGTCTGGGCGTGACAGCGTAATGCTACAGGCTGATACCATACGTCCCATAATGACAATAATGGCCTCACTAAACAACATGTAACAGCCAAGGCTAATGCGATGCATGCTACATGGGAGGCTACACACTTCATTCCATAAATCCCTTCTGTGCTTCTTTTCAGGATCTATACTAACCCCTATGACAGCCATTCGATGAATGGAAATTGGTACGCTGTCTCTGCGGTGCATCAATAGGCAGATGTCTTCTGTCTCCGGTGACAAACACGATGGTCTATCGGCTACCGAAGTATTCTATTCGCCCAATTGCCACAGATGCCCGGTTGGTTTTAATCGTATGCATAAAAATTCTCCTTACTCACCAGTGGATAGACCAATACGGATACCAATGTCCGCATATATCCTTGAAGATATGATCGAACTTTCCCAGGCGCACGCGACTTATCGATTCATTATATGTGACGAAGAGGAAGAAAAGCCACGTTT